TGAATTACAAAAATCATTTAAAAAAAACAAACATGTTTCATTGATATATATACAAAAATGAATAAAAGGAACTATATTTATCAAACATTATACTGGGCAAGTAAAAATAGTTTCTGGGCAACTGAAATGTGAAAGTCACTTGCCCTTTGGGCAAGTCCTTAACGTCAACCCCCTGTTATCTCCTACAGGATCACCTACGTCCAGTCCACCCCAGGTGCTACCATGGCAACGCCCCAGCAGGGCGCTCAGCCTCCGTATCTCTCCTCACAACTGGCGGCTCTGGGCTTCACAGCCATCGCTCCGGCCGGACAGCCTCTGGTTCAGCCCATCGTCGGCCAGCCGCCTCTGCTGGCGCCGGCGCCGCCCATTGGCTGTCAGTCACAGACTCCTCCGGGTCAGGCAGCCACTGGCCGTCAGGTAAAGGAAGATATTACATCTTTTTGTTTTTTAGTCAATTTATAGACGTCAGCACAGACAAGGAAAGTTTCTTCTTTCTTTGTAGGTTGTTTATAAGCCAGTAAAAAAAAACCAAACCATGTTCTCCTTTTTCTTCATATTTCAGGTGTCATCAACATTTATATATAAAAAAAGAGTAACAAGGGAAAAGAAAGGGGAAAAGGAGATTTTAAAAATACATTTGTAGAGCTGTAAACCTACAAAACGCATCGAGAAAAGTTTCAGTTATTAAGTTCAAATTACCAAAAGACAAAACACAAAAAGCTCACTGGTGGTACGATTTATTTGGAGTGATCTGCATGACAAAGGCTACGTTCACACTGCAGCCATTGATGCTCAATTCCGATTTTTTTCTGAAATCCGATTTTTTTTTTTTTTGCGTTGTCGTTCACATTTCCAAATATATGCGACTTGTATGTGTATGAACTCCATTCACACAACCTAAGTGTCCCGCATGTGCAGTAGAGGGCGCAATGATGTCACAAGCCAGCATGCTCTGTGTTCACGGAAGTAAACATGGATGGTAGTGCTGGAGCGCATGTAGCCATCTTTCCCAACCTTAAAAACGCAGTCTATTTAATATGGTTAAACATAAACACTGCTCTCCGCATTATCGTCCACCATTGTTTTTGTTTTTCTTGCCACTTCCGCGTAGCGAGAAGCAGAAGAGTGACCACTGTCGGGTATTAATGACATTTAGGTCGGATGGATGCGACCTGGCCGCATTTCGGTGCAGGTCTTATCGGATTCAGGACCACAGAGCCAAGTGGCCTGGGTCTCGTTGGAAAAACCGGATCTGTGTTGTTCAGACTGTCATTTATGGAAGAGGATTAGGGCCACTGGAAAAAAAAAAAAAAAAGTTAACTGATTTTTAAATTTTATTTCAGTTTAATATGGGAAAAAGTTAGAATTCTGACGACTTTTTTCTCAGAATTCTGACTTTAATCGCAGAATTCTGACTTTTTTCTCAGAATTCTGACTTTAATCGCAGAATTCTGACTTTTTTCTCAGAATTCTGACTTTAATCGCAGAATTCCGACTTTTTTCTCAGAATTCTGACTTTAATCGCAGAATTCAGACTTTTTTTCCCATGTTAAACTGAAATAAAATTTAAAAATCAATTAACTTTTTTTTTTTTCCAGTGGCCCTAATCCTCTTCCGTAGTCATTAGAAGATCAGATCCAGGATTATTGGGGGAAAAAAAAAATCGGATTTGGGTCACTTCAGGCTGCTGTGTGAACGTAGCCATAAAGAAAACCTGCAGAACCACCATTTAAAAAAAATTAATTTTATGGTTTTTCGTAACTTTGTGAAATGTCAATGTCAAATTTACTTATATAACACTTTAAAAACAGGTATAAAACTGCAACAAAGTGCTTTACAGGAAAAACAACAATATCAAATTAACAAAACAGAATATGAAACACTGCTTCAATTAAAAGCCGAAGAATAAAAATAAGTTTTAAGAAGCGATTTAAAACGATCCAGGCTGTGGGCGGATTTAATTTGAAGAGGTAATTGGTTCCACAAAATTGGACTTTATGTAAATATCAACAAAAGTCAACAACGCTCCCCAAATCAACAAGGAGCACTACAGTGTCCACATAAAAACATACATACAGCCCACATTCACAAAATATACACACAGACATTCCCAGGCATGGTTCAAAGGAGTAGAAACTGTAAGACGGCCAAATTTGTGATATACTGAATGTAAAAAGGACAAAGAAGAGGAAAAAAAAAAATAATAAAATTTAGAGTTTCTCTGTAAGACAGATTGCAGTGGATTCCAGATCCCACACAATTTGTCCGCCTTTTGATGAAGATCATGGGTGAATTTTTCAGCTGAGGCAATAGAAATGTGTGATATCCACTCATCAAATGTAGGGGCCTCTGATCTGATTAGTATACATTTCTTGACCAGAAATAACAGGATTATAAGCAAATGTTTTGTATCTGCATTTGGTAAGAGTTTCTGGATGATTAAAACGACAAAAGGAGGGAGTTAGTGAGAACGGTTTACCAATGATCTCTTGTGTCACCAGGTAAATCTCAAATAAATGAATAGATATGCCCCTATGCTTTTTGCATTTATGACAAAGATCTCAAGCATCAGAAAACATCCTGTGTAGGCGAACAGACCCACAATTTTATTAATGTGTCTGGATATCAGGACAGGGACACTACTCAGGGCTTAAAGAGCCAGATGTTGCTCTGAAGCTGCAGGCTGTATAAGAAAGGCAGTCGTTTAGTAAAATCCAAACATTAAACCAAATCATCTAACTCCAGGATGTGTTTCAGGGACCTCAAACCTGCTTTCCACTCTCCTTCAGGTACTAGCAGCCATCTATCCTGCACAAACCGTTGCCCTGGCGACCAGCGTGGTTCCGGTGACAGCTGTGCCGCCTGCCGTAGCCTCCCCAGCCCAGGACGCGATAAAACCCACCTCCCCGTCGACCAAAGCGGTGCAGGGTTCGGCGGCTGCAGGGGCGACCTTTCAGCCCGGGGCTGGAACTCAGGTGGAGGTGAAACAGGAGAGCCAGCTGGACGCTGAGAACGAAGGGTCATCAGGCTGCAACCCAAGCTGCTCCGTGGGCAGCTTAGAAAGTGGAGGCGCAGCAGGTAAAGGTCCACAATTTAGATCTTTTATGATGACTGCAGCTTATTCCTCTGTCATTCGACAGAGTGAAATATGAGGAGCTTTGCATGAAATAACAACTTTCTTAGAATTAAAAAGGCAAAGCAGCATCCAGGTTAGGATTGATTAGCTGATAGGAGTTCAGGCAGTTCAAGAGTCAGAAATGGAAAACATTTATGGCCGCTGTCAATCAGTTAGTGGCCTAGTCAGAGCAAAGAGGAATCGATTTACCTTTTTTTGAAGCCTATACCAATTATTTTAAAATCAAATTGATCATAGATATTTTGATCTGATTCGGTTGGGTTGATTTTTCAGCAAATATCGCTTTTTCTTTCTTCAGTCATGTGAAAAAATGAAACAATAATAAATCTCAACTTAAACTGTTGCTGAAGGAGCAGCAACGCATGTGCCTTATTTGATCTCAAGGCGAATGCACACTCCTATTGGCCGATTGATGCCATCTCCATGTAAAGTCCTTAAATGATTTGGGGGAACCCTTCGTCAATGTCATGCCAGTTCATAGCTAAAAAAGTATCTCAAAGTACAGTTTACAGAAATAAAATGAACTAGCTCACCTTCATAGTTCACTTTTTCAACAATGACCTAATTTCTCCAACCTATAAATGAACTAGTTCAAGTTAATTTGGTAAATTAAGCCATATATTTTATC